ATTCAACGAAGAGCCACATGCGGCTCTCGGAGCCGAATTTACCCACAGTTTTTATAATCGATTGGATCGTAGTATACAAATGCAAAAGGAACTGCCAAAATAGGATTAAAAACTATAATATACATGACTAAACATTTAGAATATATTTGAAAACTATCTTCAATAATTTTAGTGAAACATATATAATATTTACAGTTGAATGAACAAAAATATTACACATTAAACACTTTATAAATTATTAATATTTTTCGTAGAACAACTATTGACATTTTTGTATCTCTTACATAATTATCCTATTTAATTATCATGCAAAATTATAATTTATTTTAATTTATATTTGGAGATTTATCATAAATATAATAAAAATTGCAACTATAGTAAAAATAAATATTACCTTGACATCTTTTTATCTATTGAAATTAGTTATTGTTCGATGTTCTCGATTTCAGGTAATAAACCATTTCAATCCAGTCGAGTCTAACAATAAATATAGACAACATGTTTTTGTTTATATGTAAATGAAGGCATGCTATGAATTGTATACGTTTCCATAGACATTTTCCTTATAACAACTTCATAAAAAAATCGATATAATAGTAACTCTGTACTTGTAGCTAATTCTTTTCGAAACTAGTATCAATTACCAAAACATATGAGGATAAGGTAAATGCATAAAACTTGTTAAAAAAATACGTTTTATTTGACAAAATGGAATAATGTATTTTTAAAATGCAACGAGTACCGAAGTTTCACTGTAATACAATAATCCAAATAGATTAGTTTGAATTTAATTATTAAACACAATTTGTTGAATGATAGATTTGTTCAATTCTTATAATAAAATGAAGCATTCCATAAAAAGCGTTTTGTTTTGTAAACAGGAATGACAACAATATATGTATAATTAGTATAAGTGTAATTCAATACTTATAACTTTACTCGTAAGATGTCACCATAATTTATTACTTAGTTTATAATAATTATGAAACGTAACATATTTTTAACGGTAATTAAAGGTTAAAGATGATAGTTATAACCAGTTTCGTGGACATTATACTACTGTTAATAATATTAAAACTTATTGTATTGAGTTTTGTTTTAATTTTGTAATATTATTGTTACAATAATTATTGTTATTCTTTAAGCATATTTACATACATAATTACAAATGAAATAATATAAATTTGAATTGTTGGATCTGGTCAAACATTTCTGAGTAATTAAATTTAAATATAATTCTAGTCTAAACTTATTTCCTAATTAAATCATAAAATATCAATAATTTTTCAATTATAAATTTAAAATATTAAAAATTCAAGCTACGCTCAGAATCATTTTCAATAGTAATATAAATCCAAACATCTCCAATTTACGCAAATTTAATATTCTGAGTTATTAAATAAGAACCAAAGACAAAAAGCGTATATATTTAGAAATTATAGCTATAAGAGATGATTTATATAATAAATTCTATACATTATTATTGGAATTGTTAAACTTTGTATTATAATTTATTTATATTTATGTACATGTAATGTAAATTATTAGTGATTTCTCTACTTGTATCAAATAAAAGGAGAAATGACTAGAAAACTAGTAAACACAGTTTAATCATTTTAATTTGTATTTTAGTTTATTTATTTGTTTTCTGATTTAATCTCTAAGTAGCAACTTTCTTAGATCGTTTTAATGATCATTAACAGAATTAATCTAATTAATAATGTATTGATAACACAATCAAAATAAAAAGTATATAGTTAATAACTATACTGAAATAAAAGTATAGTTTTTTCATTTAAGAAAATGAAATTGGAAAACGGATCATACTTTCTTGAAAATAAAAGAAGAATTCATATAAAACCTCGCAATAATTGTAGGAAAACAAACTGTTGGATTGTGTTTATTTTGAAAAAAAATATCAAATAAACCGATTATTAGAAATAGCAAGTTTAGAAGATTGATATATTTTTATTACCTTTATTATATATTATTGTAAGAAGATACTCAAAGATTTACAAATTAAAATAATAGAACAATATTTGATATGAAGCATATTTTCATTACGTAAATAATAAATATGATGTTTCCATTTTGTTATTATGTGAATTTGTGATTATTTAATTAATCTAGGTTTACTGAACAGTGAACCTTTCTAAAATGCAATTAATTGGTAACACGTTCTATGAAAACTGCGTTATAAGATTACCGCGTTATAGCAGTGTTTAGATTTATTGAAGATTCACTCCTTCCAGAAATTCTCGTGTTTTTTTCTTGGTGAAAAATTATTATTAAGTTAAGCTATTAATGAATTTTTGAAAGACTTAAATACGTGTAATTTATAGAATACAAAGTCCACAATACGTATGTCAGATTGACGTAAAACTCAATTAAATATAATTTGGTTACAGAATTAGAAGAAAACTATTTGTTTATATTTAATATTTATGGTAACACTGTAACTTTGATTTTTGTTTTTTTCATGACAATTAAAAGTTATTATTTATAGAAAGAATGAATATTTATTTTTACACAAACTTAAATTTGTTTTAACATTGTACAACAGTAATACTAATTATATATAAACTAAAAGAAAATTCGATTGATTAACTAATAATGATATATGTTGAATAATCAACATAATATAAATTAATATAATATAAATTTTGATTCAAAATTATTTCCTAATTTTATATTATTGTTTAATTTTATTTTCAAATGCTTATGGTTTATAATAATAAATAATGACATCCGTCAAATATATTAAAACGACGATTATCCGGGTCTCAATTCAACGTAGCTAAATCAGGGGTTTCCAAACAATGCGCAATAATTCTGATATATTAACATAAAGTTCGCGCTGAGATAGACCAATGTTTTGACTTAGAGCTCCGAGTTTTTTTTTGTTGATATATTATGGGCACTGCAAATAGAAAAAGTTTTCGAACCATTGAGCTAAACAATAAAATTATCTCTGCAAATTTTAATACACAGATTAATTAATTAATTAATTAAGTTTTTGAGTTTTATCTGTGCTTTCCAAAAATAATTGGCATTTAACTGTACTATCATAATGGCAGAAAGCATTGGTGGTTTTGATTTAAATGACATGTTGATTTATAATGTTGAAATATCATTTTGAAACCTATTTAGAGGTTTTAATTTAAATTGAATACAGTTTATCAACAAATAATGACATCTGTGAAATAATCACCTATGAATGTTTATGAATATGTCAATTACTAACATAAAGGTAGAAGCATTAGTTGTTTTTTTAATTAAATACCAATTTCGTTCATATTATAGAAATCGCACTTTGCAAACTATTAATAAGTTTAAATTTAAATTGAATGCAGTTTACCATCAAATAATGGCAAATTATATGATTTAAATAACATTTTGATTCATAATATAGGAATATCAGTTTTTAAACTATAAATAGATTTAAAATTAAAATGAATAAAGTTTATTAACAAATAATGACATCTGTCAAATAATAACTTATGAATATGGTTTATCGACAAATAAAGACATCTGTCAATTGCTAACAGGAAGTCAGAAAACATAAGTTGTTTTTGAATTAAATACAATTTTCATTTATAATATAAAAATTGCAGTTTGTAAAGTATTAATAGGTTTAAATTCATATTGAATGCAGTTTATCAACAAATAAGGATTCTATGGTTTAAATAACATTTTGATTAAGAAAGTAGAAGTAGTTGTTTGTAAACTATTAATAGGTTTAAAGCATGAATTCAGTTTATCAACAAATAATGACATTTGTCATGATAATCTATGTATCTTAAGGGCAAATATCTTTAGTGCTTTGATTTTAATGAGATTTTAACGGCACAAGCTTGAACATAAGGTTACCGCATTTCCCGAGTCGATTGTATTTGCATTACCTTTTAAGCATTTCGGCTTCGAAAGAAACATCTAATTGGTGAATGAATGGAATCGAATACGTAACTGAATTAAAATCGCATTTGGTCAAACAGCTGTTCGATCGGTTTTCATTTGGAATTCGAATCGGAATCCGATAAGCAAAGCAAATAAATAAAATCCAGACCGTGTGGAAAACCGTTCGCGAATTATCATTTTAATTGGAGCGGATTCAATTAAGAAACGTTTCTCCTCGAAATAAAAGCGCATTGCCTCTATACAAACATACATATGTATAAATAATAAAAAAAACATTATTTTTTTGAAGCATCCAGTTTTCGGTTTCACGGTTACATGACGTCATTTCCACCCAATCCGGTCATCCGGTCTGCATTTTACCCTCGCGACCTCGTCAAAATAATATAATGGAATTTTAATTTCATCCGCGCTAAAATCAACCTCACGTAAAATGAAAAAAAAATACGTCTTTTCCTTAAGTGTTACAATTCTTCGGAGAGGATTTCCTGTCCCAATACCACCGAAACCGGTGAGATAATTAATCAATGAAAAACGCGTGCTTCGTGAATGCGTGCGTCCAAATACATCGACACTTTCATTCAGAGAAACCGGACTTACGTAAGTCGCTTTTCTCCGATGAATTGGAATATTAATAATTTATTGTTTAGACGTTTGGGAACTGGAATCACGTTTGCGTCGGAGAACGTGTGCTATGGGAATATTGTAAAGTAGGTTCTGAAAGTTAAGCTTTTGTTTTGGTTTTGTTGTTAGCGCCTACGATAATTATTCGATGAAAATAAGAATTGCAAGAAGAGATATAAATCTTTCTAATATTTCCATTTATTGAGCTTCGAAATTTATGTTACTTAATATTTGATCAGGTAGGCAGGAAATGTGCGTCCGGACAACTTTTTTTTAGTGAAAGAGAACACGCGAGACGAATCCTAAACATGATGCTTTTTTTTCCTGTCTCAATTATTATATTTTTTATTAGATCTGCTTCCTATTAAATTAATTACGGCTTTGACACGCGCGTCATCAATTCCAATATACAGTTAACTTATTAAACGCTATAATAACTTTAATATGAAAAAAAAACTTACTTTCGAAAATCGCACTATGATTTGTGTAGGTGTAATTGATCACTGAATGCACTAACTTGTTTTGTTTTTGTTTTTTTTTTAACTTAACTTTTCCACTGTGTTGTTGTTGTTTGATCGAAATTGAAATTGGATTTGCCGAATGTGCTGCGTGTTTGTGTACGGATGATTGATAACGAGCATTTGAAACATTGATACACTAATGGACTACGCACTAATCCACTACTTCCATTTCCACCAGAGGTGGAAGCAATAAAGTCTGGCAGAGTTAAAACTAGACCGTACCATGCCAACCATGCCCACGATTCACTGGGGGGAATCAAGCAGGCAGGGGAAGTAGGGGAACACACGAACCGTGACATTTGGGCCGATAACTGCCCTCATCAACATCTCCTCCACTGTACGTTCGTACGTTTTCACGCACCGGAAATATACCCAATTAATTGCATACGCGCTTTTACCTGTTTTCGTGAAATTCTCTTTTGCTTATAGATTGTTATTAAGCATTTGCATTCCGCAATTATTACATCAATTATATTTGCGATGTTTAATATTTATTGTATTTAATTTATTCCGAAACCGACATACATTTCATCAATGTAATAAATGAAATAAAATATAAAAAATATCTTTCTTTAGTTTAGGATATGTACTAATGGTATAAAACATGTAAGAAACCATTTTTATAAAACAAAATATTTACAAAATTTTCAAATTCCTAGTAAAAAATGATCTATTTGTTAAATTGTATATGCGCTTTCATATTTTTTCGTGAAATTCTCTTTTACTTGTAGATTGTTATTAAGCATTTGCATTCCGGAATTTATTGTGTTTAATGTATTCCGAAAACGGCATACTTAATAAAGCAATTCAGCAATACATGGCATAGTGCTCGTAATAGTTTCCGCCAATATAACGGACTATTTCAAACCGGACTAATCGAGGAATTAAATAATGTCTATTCCGCTTAATCAGAACACTTCATGATTAGTATATTTGTGGCCTAATTATGCAAAGTGTCCTGATTAAGCAGTGGCGGATTATCCATTAATGATTTCTAGTCCAGACTTTGGGGTTCCTCGAACTAAGATATATTCCTGCAGTATTTAAAATATAATAATGTTTTCAGTATTTTTGGGAATCCCAAAAATTGTTTGCTGGCCCCTAAAGAAAGAGGAAATAAAACGATCATTAAAAAAATTATGTAAAATTAAAACTATTTTATTTAATATTTTTTTAGAATTTATTTATATTTTGATGCATTATAATATGTTTGTTTTGAATTTTTTTAGGTATTGCTGTACAGTATGAAAATAATTCATAAAATATTTAATATTTCTATATTTTAACTAAATTTATATCTTTTTTAAAAGGACAATAAGCGGAAGTGCTGGGATAAGCTGTGACACAAACTATTACGATTAATTAATGATGAAAATATACTTGAAGATTTAAATTTACTATGGTTTTTGATTTTATTTTTCACTAAATTTCTATAAAAAGTGTTTTGAAAAAGTTACTATTAAATTAACTCAATGTTCCTTCTGATTAGATTGTAGTCAATTGAAATTTGAACAGTACATAGAGAATCTTAAAATGTTTAAAATATATAAAACTTTGTATTCAATTATATAACAAAAAAATCGTTTCTTTTTTTTTTCAAGTCAAATGTTAGTCACAAAATATATAAATTGTTTGTTGTTAAAAATTACGTAAAAATAAACAAATAGGATGAAAAACTGGTGGCCAATAATTATTCTTAATTATTTATTTAATTTTAGTTTAGATTTAGTAAATAATAATATTTATTTAAACTGTTAAACATACATAATAATAAAGAAAAGAAAACGTATTTATACAGAGTGCGGCGGAAATATCTCCCATATTATGATTCCAAATGTGTATTGTCAATGCCATCTTTTGGACGATATAATTTTTAAAACTTAAAACAAAAAAAACGTTTTTATATATAAATTTAGGAAATAAAATGTTTTTAATGATACCCATTTTTGTGCAAACCCCGCTTTGAAATGTGGAAGTTATTTTTTGCCGCACGCTGTATAATTATGTCCAAAAATAGAAAAAAAAGTACAATTATTTTGTTTTTCTTTATAAAATTATTGAAAATTCACATTATTATCATTGGATTTCATACAAAATTAATGTAGTAAATTAACATTTGTGAAATTTGTACATAATTAATTGTATACACGTTTAACTTTTTTCGTATAGATTATTATTAAGCATTTCCATTCAGAAATTGCATCCTCTTATTCCGTTGTTTAATATTTATTGCATTTAATGTATTCCGAAAATGGCATACATTTCTTCGAGGAAATGAAGGATATACAAACAAAAAATATGTAATAGTTTCAAATATATAATCATTGTTAATTATTTTAGAAAACTTACTATTTAACTGAAAATTAAATTATCTACTTTCTCAATCCATTTATGTCACTTGTTACAGATGTGTGATTCGATTATTTGTTAAACATAATGTCATTTTTAATATAGTATAATATAGTATAATATAGTATAATATAGTATAATATAGTATAATATAGTATAATATAGTATAATATAGTATAATATAGTATAATATAGTATAATAGCAACTATCAAAAAGTTCCAATAGTTGTTTTTCTCTCTTTTCTAGAAAATAGCTAAGTTTGTTATTATATTCACAATTTAATGTTGAATTGTTTATACCAGCAGTCCGCAACCTTTTTGATCTCACGGACCACTAAACTCAACATTTTTAATCCCGTGGACAGTATTGAAAAGTATTTAAATTGGGCCTTTTATAAAAACGCAACTTAATAATGCAAAATTTGCAAAAAAAAATGGATTTAGAATATAATAAAAAGATAAATAACCTCTTGTCCATGGAAAGGCCATTTGATCTACGGGCGGGGGTTGGGGACCACTGGTCTATAAATTATCCATAACCATGGTTATTAATCGATTTATTACATCGATATAACTAAAAAAATCTATTATTTGTATATCAATTATTTATATTTATACTATTTATACACTTATTTTGATTATCACAAACTTATTAGTTTATTTATAAAGTAACAAATTATTTTAAGAAATGCGACTAACAATATTTAGTCGTAAAATCTAATTAATTAATATAATTTGTAATATTTGTATTAGTTTCAAAATTATTTATTTTCATGTATATATAACTTTATTTCTTATTCAATTTCTGATATCGAAGTTTTCTGATAACAAATCGTCATTTTCGAATAATTCTATGTAAATTATTGAATACGTGATGAATATCTTAATTTAAAGTAAGTTCTTAGTATTATTTTCAAGAGAAATTTGTTGAAATTATAAATCGTGCGCGTTTTATATCAACTTTCTTCCAATACTTTACATGCCCTCATTAAACTGAAGTAAATGATGGATTAAGTGGATTTATAATTAATTAAATATTTATCTCCATTTAATATTTAATCTCATATTGAATATAATTTATATAATGTTAAATAGGTTTGGTATAAAAGACATATGATCAAAAGACTTTTGTTTACTATATAGTTTGTTATAATTTGAATTATAAATTAGTATTTATTTTTTGATACATTAAATGTTAAAATTATTGTAAGTTAATAAAATTAGGTTTATCTCTTCTTAAAACTATAAACTTTTTACTTTTGAATTATGTAAAATTATAATATTTTGATTATAATGTATAAAATGTAGTAAAAGTGAATTATGAGATATAATGCAGGAAATGCATTGAATTATAAAAAACAAATTTGAATTTTTATGATACTGATATAATGTAACTATTACACAACTAATACATTTAATAAACTAGGGTATATTTATTGTATGAAACGCATGTGAATAATTTGTACTATTTAATAATATATAATTTATACGTGATTAATAGTTGTAATCTTTTTATGATTGCAAAAAAAATTATAACATGTTTTGATTGTTAATTTAATTTATGCAATTACAGTCATTTAAATGTAATATTGCGAGCAAATAATTATACACAATTATCGTAATATATTTCAGATATTAAAAGAGGAATGCGGGTTAAATTAAATTCATTATAATTAAGTTTCCTGTTGCAAAAATTATAATTGGTTATCAAATTATATAGAAATATATCATTCAGAAAAAAATAGATTTTATATTGACCTATAATTAATAGTTCTTATTAATTTTAATAATAGTTGAATTATTCTTATATATAGGTACACCTCGGTTAACGTTACATCTGATAAAAAAAGTTCGCAATTGAAAATTCTTGGAAAGAAGTCACTATAAAATGTTTTGGGTCAAATACGATAAGAAATTCTTAGAAGATGAAAATAATATCAATAGGTAATGCAATATTATAATGCAAAAAATGATGATTTTCAATGGAATATTATTAGCAATAAATAATAAGAAAATGATGACAAAATTAAAGAAGTTCCCACTGAAAAATTGGGTCAACCAACGATTTTAAGTCACTAAGAAATGTGGAGTTTGCGACAAGAAATTGCTAGAAGATGAAAATAATATCAATAGGTTTTGAAAATCTTGATGAAGATAATATTATAAATTTATTTAATGCAGAAAATGATGATTTTCAATTAGCAATGAAGATTTAGAAAATGATGACAAAATTAAAGAAGTTCTTGCTGAAAAATGTAAACAACCAACGATTTTATGTTGATAAAGATAATATTATAAATGTATTTAATGCAGAAAATGATGATTTTCAATGGAATATTGTTAGCAATGATTAATAAGAAAATGAAGACAAAATTAAAGAAGTTCTCGCTGAAAAATGTAAACAACCAACGATTTTAAGTTACTAAGAAATGTGGAGTTTGTGTTAAATACGACAAGAAATTGCTAGAAGATGAAAATAATATCAATAGGTTTTCAAAATGTTGATGAAGAGAAAATTATAAATTTATTTAATGCAGAAAATGATGATTTTCAATGGAAGCAATAACGAATAAGAAAGTGAAGCCAACCAAAGATTTTAAGAGTTACATAGCTTACAATGAAAACGTATTAATTTTATTGACAATTCTAATTGAAATGAAATTTTTGCAATTTTGAAGAAATTTATTTAATAAAAGAAATCCATTTCCACCTATAAAATTATATTTATTTTATTCAGTTTTTTACTAATAAAAGTTGTCCAATTATTTACTATATATTAGATTTAAAAAAAAGTTAATATTAAATGTAACTGTACATTAATGTAT